AAGAAACATTATTTCAATGAATACATTGAGCAGCAGAGTTGTGAGCAGATGAATGATGTCGTGCAGCCTTCATATGCCAGTATTTCCTATTGCTCACGAGGTCTTTCGGGGTGAGAGCACTCCTGCAACAACTCAACAACAGTCAATGTTAGGACACCAAACAGGTCTTGGGATCCTTACTTAGGAAAAAGTAGGAATACAATGTAGGTATGTATGTTGTGAATCATGCATCTTTACAGTCTCCACAACCAATGGGTACTACGGTGAAATGGGTAGTGGTGTGAGATGTGTCCTAGCATGCCACAAGACAAAACATCTAACTCCAGGAAAAGGGTTTTTCTTAAGATTGGTTTGAGTTATAATGCCTCTTCCGAGGTTCTGGCTTTAGGATAAAAAAGTGGAAGTCATCCGATTTTTCTTACATGTACAAAATCATTTTGAATCTCAAATTTGTTCTTTTTAATGGTATCATTCTCAACTCTCCAAATCTTTCCTTCAATCATCTTTTAGATTTCTTAAGATCGAACTTAGAGGTGAGGTGTGTGAAGCTTTGTAATGTCATTTATGTTCATCAATTAGTTCCAACATTTTTATTGGTTAAGTCATCAAATTTCCATCACAAGAGCAACCACAGAGACAGGTGATGAGTTTTGGTAAATGTCAATCAGTGCATGGGACTTCTTTAACGCAATGAGCATCTTCCACGATCAACACTTCTCTCTCTCGCAGTATATCTTTCAGACACGAGTCTCCACTTTTAACGCTAGCATGTGTGCGTAAGTGTATTACTAGTGCTACTCAGCTACTCATTCTTATATCCTTCTTGGTCTCATTTCTCTCGCGTTCCATATCAAGGGGTTCCTCACAATTTCAAACAATTCATCAGTAGGTTGGGCTCCGTTGTGAGGGCAACTCGAGCCCTCTTCCTGGCATCTACCTTCTCGGCTCTCACTAGTGATTTCTTCCCCTTATTAAGCACGGGTTCGTTGCTCTTCCTTTTCGGTTCGCTCTCTCACCAGAGGTGAATCAGTACAGATTCTGCCCATAGAAACCCTTGGGATTTTCTTTTTTGTCCTTCTTAAACTTAGGTTTCTCCTCAATCTTTTCCTGCTTGTGTTATTGAAAGTGTTGGGCAATCGGCTCTCAACCATGTCCCAGGTCCACATCAAAACAAACAACATCAAAAAATCCTTTAATGTTTATGATCCTTACCTTTTCTCCACTTTGATGCGTGCTTTTTGTTTCTCTGAAAGCTTTGAATTGCCTTGATGGGATGAAGGCAACTTCATCGCTTTCAGACCCGGAAGATTTCAGAATCCGATTTGTGCACTTTCAGTGCAATTGTTCTCCTTTTTCTCTTCCATGTTCATCAAATTTCTTTGATTCCCCCTTGCTCGTAAGCAATGAGTGGAGCCAAGTAAGTTAATCAATAGAATAGATGTTCAAATCCTAGATAGTGATTTGCAGTAATTTTTAGCACTGTACGAAGAAGGCAAAGCATCTCAAATTTTTTTTTCACTTTTCATAGTTCGAAAGCTCTTTCCTAGAGCAATGCAGTTGAAGTAACAATTTGAGTAAACCTATGACATGTCAGAAAAGAGGTTCATCAAGTCATACGAAAAGTTCGTAGTCATGTAGAATGTTAAACGGGGATTGTTTAACCTCATTAGTACCTTCATAGGTGATGCACAATTTATCCCAAGATCTCTTTACCAGTTTTGCAAGCTGAGACACGCATGTAATCCTCAGATTTAAAGCACAGGTACAGAAAAAGCAGTCAACTCCAAACATTTTGCATTTAACTTGAGCTAAATCACGTTATCGAAAGTCCATGTCAGTAAAAAGCAACTCAGTTTAATGCCAATTAATTCACGAGAAAGGTGGCAGAAATAAACCTTTCTTGAATAAGCATCCACATGCGATAATCAGTGATTTGTAAAAAATAGAAACGCGAGTTTTACCAATCAAAAGGTAAGTTGTGTCAAATCAGTGGGAGCATCGGGTAATAGAATACCCTTTCGTGAGGTACGATTCCCAAGGTTAGCCATTGGATCTAATTCGAAAAGTTTTCAAACGTGTAAATTTTTGAATCCCGCTCTGGATACCACTTAAAAGTTGTTAGGAATTATTAAGCCCCTATAGAGAGTGGCCCCAAGCTAACCAAGAGGGAGGGGGGGTGCGGGGGAATTGGTATTTTTAAGAATTATCTTTTCACACAAGTATATACAAAATTGTATATAACCAACAATGCACACGACAAAATAAATGACAGGACTTAAAAAGTGCGGAAAGCAAAAAAATTATAGAACAACGAGAAATATTTATCAGTAGTGTTCGTGTAATTCACTTCGACCTACATCCCACTCCTTGGAGGCTACCCGTCCAAGTATGCACTACCATAACCACCGTCTCTCCTGTGCCCATTGGCTAGGCGGAGAAACCCTCACAGACACTTATCCTCGTTTGCCACTCCGGCAAAGCCATGAGAACCTTAATCTGCCTTTTTCATTCTCCTGAAGCTGGCAGGAGAACCACAACTCAAAAGCTAACCCTTACCTCTTACCGACCTCGTCAACGGACGAGAAACTCGAGATCGAGAACAATGTAAGAGTGCGACATCACTTGATTAGGCAACCCTTTGTGAATACCCTTACCAAGCTCCCCCTACAAAGTCCTCTCTCCCTCACCTCTCTCTTTCTCTCTCAAGGTCTTCTCAGGTCAAGGCAGAGCCAAAGGTTTTTCAAAAACGTAGAACAGAGGCTCTTAAATAGAAGAGCTTCAAGAGAGCTCATTATTGCAAGTTTGCCGACTTTATCTCAAGGGCCTATTGGACAGGCCCGGACATATGGACACTGGCCTGCCGATTAAAAACACTCAGAAAGATCGGCCAGAAGCATCCCTCCTGGGACTCGAAGAATTATCATGGACACCGGAATCAGGCTTGACGTTAACTAGGCTGTGGAACTTCTGTCCAGGGCCTACTCCTGGCCGATCTACGATCGTCCTGGCCGATCAAGTTCAAATCATCTGGGAAAATGATCCTCTGAGAAATAGTCCTGGATACGAGCTGGTGACCGATATCTTTGAATCATCCTGAAAGTAACTTAATAGGTTTTTGGACTGGCATCGGACCTCGGACCATTCCTGCTCGATCATCCAGGGACGATATAAATCGTCAATCAAATACAGAACCTTAATTACTCACCTTGTGATTTCTGATCATAATTGAAGACATAATTTGATACATTTCGTCCTCAAAGGCGAGTCAATTATCGTCAGGCCGGATAATTAAAATCATACAGTATCCTTAATGTCTTATGGCGGCAACTTCTATTCTGTTTGAGCTTATCGGGGTCCCCCTCCCCCCACCCCCCCCCTCCTTTCTCTTCCGTTCCGTCCCCTCCCCCCTTCCCCCGTTTTTCCCCGGTCCTTCCTTCCCTCCGCCTTCAATGGCCGGGAGTACAAGTATCGTCCTAGGCCGGATTGCTAATGCGGCTGGCCTAATTAAGAATCCTTATTTAGACTTTTTGTTTATAAGCCGATCGTCCAGGCCGAATACAAAAAAATCGTCCTGGACCGATATTGAGTAAAAACAGAATTCTAAGTCTCCAAGTGTGTGTGTTAGGCGTTACTTGCATCAGTCTCTTTTTACCATTACAAAGAGACTCAAAAGGAAAAACAAAAGTACAGACTGACTCAACCCTAAACCTACGCAATCCTGAACTGGCTTCTTCTTGATCGTCCGATCTTCGATTCCTGAAAAGTTAGAAGCAACAAGCAGTCCAAGAGAAATAGTGTTTGTCAATCATCAAAACATAAGTCATGAAATTAGATTTGCAACAAAGCCAAAAGAAAGTATAAGTCTACCTTTATTGTCTCTGAACACACCACCAATGCCAGCTCTATTAGATTTTAACAAAGATGCATCAATGTTCACTTTAATCCATTCACCTATATTACTTTTTTTAAAGCTTCTCCTCCTTGTTGTGGGGGCAAAAGGAGATACACATTTGCTAGTTCAATCCTAGAAAAGGAGGTTTCCAAGGAGTGGACGTAGGTCAGGTTGGATTGATCCACTATAAATTTTGGTGTGTTTGTTCTTATTATTTTCCGCTTTTTTATTTTTTCTGTGATTTACTGTGTGGTTGAAAAACTCTGATTTTTTGTTATTTATGAAATTAATTCGTTTCTGCATTGGGGATTAAGGTGTTTGTTGTCAAATATTAAAAATTCTAAAAAAAATATTTTCTTTTTATTTAAAAATTTTTAAATTTTCAATTCATTCCCCTCTTAATTAGCCATGGACTGATTGTTTGAGGTCTCACAACCTCCTCGAACTTTCAAATTCTTCGGTCAAAATTTTTTTTAGCAACTCTCCTTCACAATAGAATTTCTCAAACAATATTTCTTGATGGATAATGAAGTCATTCAATGCTTCCAATAAAAAATGAGAAGCTCACTTCTCACACCACAAACCACTAGGTCACAACCTCTAAACTTCAAGGCATGAAACTATCCCATAGATAGTATCCTCTTAGCAATGATGAATATTTTAAGATCAACGTTCTTTCAAGCAAGAAAAATAATAGGCAAAGCTTATAAAAGCTAGATGGGCGTCAAAATATTATCCATATACTAATTTTCAAATTTTTAGCTATAAAATAAAGGCAATTTTATTATTATAAATTTCCCTTAAAAAGATCAAATAAGAAAGAGATTTATTATCATTAGATTTTATGCTGAAGTTTATGAAAATTACAAAATCTTAGATGTATCACAAATATCTAAGAAATATACAGATCTTATGATAAAATCAATGACTAAAAAATTCTTATTGGTATGATCTTATGTGTGAAATTTCTTTTTGCATTGAAAGGTATGTTCCTAATCCGAAAATAGACGCACATAAATAAATGAACTCAATATTTTTCAAATTTATGCACTTGGTTCAATCTAATTATTTCGGCCTAAAATATAAAAAATTCATTCTATTTGCATTTGCAATCCTTCTCTGCTGTAAAATAAAAAAAAATTGCCATCTTGAGCTCCCAGACAAGCCATTAGAGAGAGGGGGAGAAAATGGACGAGGTTGCGGCGGTTTCGAAGGGTGGATTGGAGTTAGGTCGACCGGCTGTAGTGCTATTATGCGGAAGTCTCGTATACTACCACTGCGCGTACCGGGATTCAAGCCTCCTGTCGCTCTTCTCTGACGTTCTCATCGTCCTCCTCTGTTCTCTCGCCATCCTGGGCATGCTCTTTCGCCAGATGAATATCTCGTGCGGACTCATAGAAACTTTAATCTATCTATGCTTTTTCGATTTACATCTTCTATCTTGCTTTAATTATACTCTGGAATTTGGTTAATAGATTTAGGTTGGATCTTTTATAAGCAACTTGGTCTTAGTTCACCTTGAATTTATGTTTGTGTCTTATTAGTTTTGGGGAAAAGCAAAGTTTCTCGATTTTGTTGTCTAAGATTTGAGAATACCTAACCCTGGTGTCGATGATCAATTTCATGGACATTCTGTGATAGAGCTGGGCTTCTTTGAACTAAGAGATTTGTTCTTGAGCTTAGCTCAAAGAAATATTTCTTGCTCTAATGCTCAGTATTTTGCTTTATATTGGTTAGTATTGAGTTCGTGTTAATATTGTGTTATTGTTCATACTAACCAATACTAAGCACAATACTGAGTATTAACCCAAGCCCTCTCCTATTTCGCAGCTTTAGGGCATCTCCAACCGAACGGCAAACACTTGTTTGCCGTTCTTGCTTTGCTCCAACCGATCTTCATTTTTGACGCCATTTGATCGCGGATGAACAGTGCGACGCCAATATTGGCGTTGCACTGTTCATCTGCGGCATTTTCTTCTCTCTACCGAACAGCTTGGGAAGAAAGGCGCCAACGAAAACGACCATTTTAGCGGCAAAATGGCGTTGGATTGGAGATGAAACACGGCATTTTTTTGATTTCCCTGCATTTTGCAGTGAAAAATGACATTTTCGGTTGGAGATGCCCTTACTCACTTATCCTTTTCTCTTTTTCTCATTTTTTAAGGTGCGAGATTTACTTTAAGGCTGCCTTGTGTTGTCTTAAGGTTTTATGATTTTATATTCAAACTTCAAACTTGAGGTCTTCATCGTCTTTGAATTTTAAAACCCATGGACATGATTCAAAGTTATCATTTATTGTTGCTTTGAAATTTTAAATGTATAGATAGTGCTATGTGGCACCTATGTTGGATCTTTGGTGTCAAATAAAAGGATATGTGTGCTACTTAAACAACATTCTATAAGCCTTGGAAATTCACTATCTAAGGACTATCTAGGACTATCATAGTCACTAATAACATTCATTTTGAAAGAATTTTCCCCTGTCAATAGATCAACAACTTTCTTGACATTCTAAGATTGAATATGTGTCAACCCCGTACATGGTCTTATTAATTTATAAAAAACTTATGTTTTTGATAACGTCACTTGGGATTGCTCATTGTGAGCACCTTTCTGAGGAGGCACCTCTTCTCACAAAGTTATTAGGGAATTTTATACAATATGCATAAGTTCCAATGAGCAATGTTGTATCAAGGTACAGGGTCCACGATTGGTTGCAAATTTATTCTCTTATTGAAGAAGCACTAGTAATATTTGACAAATAAATGGACATATGATCCATAGCTCAAAGTCTATGTATTTGATCCTTTATTGCTATTTTTTATTCCATTTTGCTATTTCACTTCTATAAATCTGCGAGTAAAAATTTTTTCAAGGTACTTTGACTAGTAAATAGTATTTATTATTTGGATATTATGATCTTCTTCCAAAACTCTTTGGCCATGTGGTGTCCTTATTTTAAGTGCAAGTTTTTCTGGATTAGTTTTCTTTTATTTCTTCTCTTGATGGATCAAATCTTAGGATTTAGGGTTTCCTAATGTAGTTCTAGGATAAGTTACACAATAAGCAAGTACATAATGTCAAATTCACAATTCATAAACTTCTAATTTAACTAATTAATTGTCCTTTTAGATGAAGACTAAAAATACCTAAAATTAGTAATTCTTTAATCATAACCTGATAGAAATATTGTTGAAAAATTAGGAATAATAAAATAATTATATGTTTGGTCACAAATTAATAAAAAAATAAAGTTTATCAAATTTGAAAATATTCAATCACATAAACAAACTAATCATTAATTTTAGAGAATTGAAATAAAGTTGCTGCAAAGAAGTAAATAAATAAATTCAAATTGGATGTGATGATTGAAGATAACTTCCCTTGTAAATCCAGAGTCTTCAATTGCACTATGCTACGAAAAATCACATCCAATTATTACATAAGCAAAAAAGCAGAGCAATGTGTAATCAAAGTGGAATATCCATGGAATTATTATTTTTTTACATGTTTTAAACACATTTATTTATAACCACAAATTTTGTGTAAATAACTAAATAAATGGATAGTTATAATGACCTACTCCTATAGATATGAAATCACTAAATTCATGCAATATAATGCAAAAAAAGAAAAAAAAAAACCAACAACTATCAAATGGTTACATTACTTAAATTCAAGGAGATCTTGTAGCTAAAGATTGATAGGCATATTTGCTTGCTACAAGTCACTGCTAAACCAAACGTTCAAGTCCTATCCCAAATAAAGGCCCCAAACAATCCAACAAATGATTTCACAACTTAAGTCACAACCATACCAAACAACAACCTGCCAACTAAACCACTTTAGGACATAGGCAATGCCAAACTAATTCAACATAGAAAACTTAATCAGACCAAGAAAAAATAGTCAAAAATAATAATGAACACAACATATTCTCATACGAATCATTATAGGGATGATAAAACTAAAATTGGAAAAAAAAAACTAGAATAATGTTAATTTTCACATTGTTAAGTAGCTTGTCTCAACGGAACTCATCCTGCATTTTGGATGAGTATGAATTTTGTGATTTGCATCAATTTTTTTTATATAAAAAATTTAGCTTCAATGAATTGAACATTTGATATTCATTAAACAAATATGGCCATGGTTGTTTTGCTTTCTATAATGTAATCCATAATATTTTGCATATAGATTTGTCACACAAGTGTATAAGATACCTTTAGTTTCCACCATTAGTTGTTGACATAATACCACTATCTACTATTATTTCTATCATAAGCTGCATATGACCATTTGGGAAAATGTTGGATGTGAATTTCGAAGGAGATGAAAAGAGGGAAAAATTGAAGTCATTGGTGACTAGCTCATGATATAAAGTCAAGATAGATTAAAGTTTGGACTAATATCATAACTTCAACATTCACTCCACTGGTGTTATCTGATTATATATTGCCTCACATTTCTAATAGTTAATTTCTTAAAATCTCATTATAGAAATCCTTTACGATTTAAACAAACTATTAACTTGTCATCTAATTAAAATCATACATATATCCTATTCACATAAGCAGTAGGGTTTTAACTATCATAATTAATAATCAATTTTTTGTGATTATCTTCATGCAATTTATGTATATAAAGTGCAAATAATTGTGCAAGTTCATTAGGCCTAGACTTCATAAGAAGCTCAATTAGATCTAAGATAAAAATTTGCGACTATTATAAATGGGTTTATGCATGTTGAGCTATTAACTAATGAATTATATGTAAACTCAATTATAGGCAATATCAAATCCTAGATAAACCCACTTGGAAGGACTTGGAATCCAATCCTTTCTAAGGAAAGTTATGGATTATTCATGCAGTTTATAGATATCATTAAAATATAATGAGTGTGTGTGGGGTACATCAAACATTTATTTTATGAAAGAAAATGAATCCTTTTAAAAAATTGATCTACCATGACATATAATCATGTTTCCTATAGTTTCAAAGTAATCCTGGTACAAAGTCCATACTAACATCTTCCTAATGCTTATAAAGAATAGATAAATATTTATATAATATGAATTTTTTTTCTTTTATATTTAGTTATTTAGCAAGTTCTGCATTGTTAACTACTACACCCTGATATTTGATTCTTTGAGTCTTAAATCAACTGAGTCATAGCTGTTATCATTTGTGTCAGTGCATCAGGGTTAACAGTAACATTAGGTATTGTCCTTTCCACTTCCTCTTCTTCAAAATTATTTTGGTTCCTATTTATAATAAGATAGTTCATTTTACATTAAATCATTAATAGTTATCCTAATGGCTCTTTCAATATGATTCATATCTAAATTGGTCTATGATATCACTTTTGTCACGACCCGGTCCTGATGCTCGTACTAACGAGGCGGGAACGAAAATCAGACGGTAGTAATTTTTTATTCCTTTTATAAGTAAAATAACATAAAGACATCTCTATCCAGCTAAAGAGCCACTAATATAAGAAATATTCAATTAAATCTATTTTTTTTCCATTTATCAAAGCTAATAATTTCATCGATCATAATTTATCTGTTTTCATTGATGCGTCGTCTTCTATAAACATACTATTTTCTTTCTGCCATTTCTATTTCTTTAGAGATCTACCTGGAACATTTATTTAGTGTTTTGAGTTAATCATGTAAACTCAGTGGATAATTATTATCAATCATAAAACAAAAACACAAGTATATCAAATATATATATATATATATATACTTCTTTCTTTCTTAATACAAAATAAAAAATACATACATCTTTCATGTATTAAGCCATATAATTTATATAAGTCCTTTTATATTCAATCATAATTGTCCATTTTTATGTAACATTTCTTTCAACATATTTGACATTTAATTCATTTTCATAACAATTTTCATTTATACATGAGCACTGTCTAAATGTATCAATTAAGGTACTACCATTTTCATTTCCTGTTTAACGTACACGAATACAGTGCTTCCCCAGTCAGTACCATACGGGAGTGAACTTCTGTCAATAATTTTTCTTTACTTTTCTTTTTATTGTTTTTTCATTTATTCGTATATCATTCATTCATATATACTTTTGATATACATATAAATATCATATATATGCATAAATACTTTCTAATTTTATTTTCTCTTTCCCTTATATAGTCTTTTTACATATTATTTTTGTCACGTGTTTGTATTTATATATATTTGCTTATTTTATATGTAATAGTTTTAAAAAATAAACATAAGTCTTAAAACACTTATCTAACATGCTTCTTTCAAAATGAAATAGAAAAAAAAAATTAAGAGAAATTCTATAAATACTCACTTTAATTCTTTTAAGTCCTCGATCCTTAGTACAACCTAAAGAAATTCA